TTTCCTCCATCTGTCATGTAATACAATCCGTAATTGTATAACTGGACATCACCATTTTTCTTAATCAATATATTATCTGGACTCAAGTGTCTATGTACGAGATCTAGTTCGTTCATACATCGTAATGCTAAGAGACTCTGAAAGGATATCTTGATGATTTCTTTTGTACTTAAATCATGTCTAGTGCTTAATGGATTTCCACTGTACTCGGTAACAACCACAATTCTCTCTATAAATATATAAAAATAATTTATACAGTCTCAATGGAAAATAAATTTATTTGCATTGTCAGGACTCACCATGTTTGCTTCTAATTATGTCAAGATAGGGAGAGAGATGAGGATGGTAGATGGTCTTTAGAAATTGCGCCTTTCCGTAGATAGTTATGGAATTCGGGGTGAGTGGTAGACCGTTGCTGCCGCATACTTCCACTGGATGGCTTTGCGCAAAAAAAGTCATGCCACCCAAACATCGCTCCTCGTTCTCCAATAGTGCAGGACACATGATGTTTGTGAAATTCCATAAATCTCTCTCAGATTATACGAACTGACTCCGCCGTTTGGATTCGGATTTTCTGTTACACATCATTATTATCGTTTTCTGCATTTCTTATGATATGCCCGATGTCTTATTATCGTTTACAACAGCTGTTACTCAACCACAGACTTTCATGAGACTGCCGATCTCGCTTCTCTGTTTGAAGACAGCACTGGACAGCGCCATATTTGTATTCATTCACTCTCACATGTATAAATCACACAGTAATCAAGGAGCATTTACTTATGGCAATTTATGGGTGCCTTCCATTTACAAATAACTGAAGTGACACAAGTCAACAAAAGTCTCTCTGGCACTACAATTGACAATATAAGTGTAGTGCAGTGCGGAAGTCACCTAAAATCTGGTAACCCGATCACTCCGATCAATTTTTAAGTTTTAATTAGTCTGACAGACGCTTCTAAGAAGCGTCAGTGAAGGATTCACATCAAATACAAACTTGTCAAAGTTTGAAGAAATATTGAAGGACAACGAATCGGCGATTCTGATTACACAGCCCATTCGTTTTCGATGAATTTGGATTAACGTATAAGTAATAATACATATTCTTGTTCGATATAATAAATATATATTCTTGTCGCGATATCTTATTACTCATACTTGTTGGGCACGGTTATAATTTCTGCTCCATTTCCAAGCTACTCTCACAACTTATGAATATTAATCATTATTTTTCAACTTTTTTATTGTTTTTAGATTTGTTATATTTTGTTGTTATAATTAAAAGCACGCATTATTTATGAATAAAATAATAATAATTGTGTGTGTGTGTGTGTGTGTATGTGTGTATATTAAAATAATGCAAGTTTAAAAATACTGTGTTGCTTTATTGAAAAAAAAAAAAAAATCAAATTTGCATTCCATAAAGGAAAATACAATTACAATTACAATTATTAATTTGAATTTAAAATCATTTGTAGTATTTTATCAAAATAGATTTATTCATATAATTTTTTTTTTTTTAGTAGAATCTCGTCAGATTATTTCACTGGGACATTTATAATGTCTTCAGTCCAGCGTGCATTTGCTCACAAATTAAGCAAACAACATGCTGCTGATGTAAGGCGGCAAATTGCTACTTCTACTTCCTATTCCCGTGATTTATCCAAAAGTGGTAGTAGTATATCAGGATTTTCTTCTACAGTAAGCATACAGTTTTCTTTGGAAAACTAAAACGTGAAAATATTATAACTAATTTTGAAATAAATTATTTAATCATTAAGTAAAATATTTAACCATTATGTAGATGTCATTATGCGAGGTATTAGAACCACTTGATTATGAAGAATTCTTAGGACAACACCAGTCAGTGCTAGATCGTGATCCTTTAAAACCAATACTAGATTTTCCCCCAGGAGATGTTGAATTGAGAGTTGTAAAGAGGAAAATTCGAACAGAGGAGTCAGTAGTACCACATGAATCAATGTAAGAATAAATAATTGAAGCGTTATCAATTATTATATATTATTTAAAATTTGTGTATACAGTAAATGTATAATAATACAATAAATGTAAAATAAATGTGATAAAATCTATTCTTTATTTTAATTATTTGGCTTTCAGAGATACCGTATCACCTTATGTGAAAAGATGCATTGAAAGTTTTACTTCAGATTGGATCATAATACATCGCAAATATAAAGGGAGAATTTCACCTATTGCCAGAGACAGATTACTTCAGGATACACCTAGACAAGATTTTGAGGTATTTAGTTAGAGATAATGAATTAGTGTGTGATGTGAGCAGGAATAAAAGTAAATTTATCTCAATTAGGTAGATCAAGAAGATGCAAATGGCTGTGTATCACCGAACGAGGAGGATGATTTATCCAATTCCGGAGATACTCCAAGAGGATCTTGGGCAAGTTTGGATTTGCGACATTCACAACATGATCCTCTTCTGCCGACTTTATTAGATCGCGTTTGCCTTGAAACAATTGATCAAATGAACGAACAAAAAAGACTGGAAGATCGACAGGTATAGAATTGTAAAGTGGCAAGTCCTTGTAGGTTTTATTTTGATTAAATATTTATTTTTCAGGAAGCCTTATTTCCTCTTTATGCTCCTCCAATTTCTCCTGATGATGAATGGCAAGAAATTAATGTTGCTCCAGAACCTACAGAGCCTTTTGCTCATAAAATTCTCGTAAAATGTCTGCAATTAAAATTAGAACTAGAAGTAGAGCCAATATTCGCGAGCCTTGCATTGTACGATGCCAGAGAAAAGAAAAAAGTACGATATCTTTTTTTAAAATTAAAATTATAATTTCAAGATCGCATGCTAATTACAAATTGTTAATTACACATTGTTGTTCAGGTATCGGAGAATTTCTACGTCGATATGAATTCAGAGGGGTTAAAAAGAATGCTTGGAGGACACATTGCTTATAGCGATGCAAGTACTTTAGCCAGAAGTTGTGTTTTGAGCATTAGCAAACCCAGTCCTGATTTGTTTCTTGTCGTACGGCTAGAAAAAGTATTGCAAGGTGATATATCGGAATGTGCCGAACCATATTTACGTGAAGATAAAAATAAAGATAAAGTAAGAAAATAAGAAGAGATAATAATGAGATTCAAAATAATAATTTTTTTATACATTATTGTTTTATTCTTTTTCTTAGGTTAGAGCTGCCGCTGCCGCTGCATGTGAACGCCTTGGTCGTTATAGAATGCCTCTCGCATGGACTGCAATTCATCTGTCTGGTGTAATTGGTGGTGGTGGTGACACGGACAGCACTGGCAGCGCTGGATCCTTAGACAGAAAATCGGGAGGTCTGGAACAGTGGCGAAAGAAAGTGGAACCACCGACGCGACGAGGTTCGCTAGAAAGACGGAGTTCAGACAAAAGACGCAGTTGGTCACCAGACGATTTTGCCAATTGTCTCGATAATTTTAGGTTTGTATAATACTCCATTTTTTACAATGAGCTTTTATGACCAAAGTAACATCTTGATATTCTTACAGGCCTATTACTTTAACAGTTTCGAGCTTTTTCAAACAGGAAAGCGAACGACTTCGCGATGAAGATCTTTATAAACTTTTGGTTGAATTACGAAGACCTGGATCTAACTTAAAACGATTAAAATGTTTACCAGGGATATTGAAATTGGATCTCAGTCCCAGACCTGAAGAGCTGCCGAGGTGTCTCGATCCTGATCTTAGAAGATTAATTCCATATCCGGATGAAAAGAGTCGACCTGTTAAGGAAATACTCGAGTTTCCAAGCGAAGTTGTTTCGCCAGATTTAACATATCGTAATCTCCTTTATCTTTATCCTAAGGTGTATATCAAATAAAATTATATGATCAATTATTTTTTATTAATTACACGATATTAGAATTATATTCTGTTATTCGTAGGAAGCAAACTTTAGTTCTAGAACTGGCTCAGCTCGCAATATTGCTGTAAGAATTCAGCTTATGGGAGGTGAGCAAGAAGCCGACGCGCTCACAGCTATCTTTGGTAGATCATCATGTCCCGAGATGACGCACGAATATTTCACTTCCGTGTCATATCATAACAAGAATCCAAACTTTTATGATGAAATCAAGATGAGGTTACCCGCAGATTTAAGTGCGAAACATCACTTATTGTTCACTTTTTATCACATTAGTTGTCAGAAGAAAGTGGAACAACCAAATGTCGAAACAGCAGTCGCATATACAGTAAATTTCAATCAATAATTAATAAAACTAGTAGATCAATAATTTGATTGATGTATTGAATATATAAAACTATTTATAGTGGCTACCGCTTTTAAGAGATGGTCATCTCCAATCAGGCGAATTCAGTTTGCCTGCTATGCTGGATCCACCACCTGCAAATTATTCCTATATTGCTCCTGATGTTCTTTTACCAGGCACTCGATGGGTAGATGCTCACCGAGGAGTCTTCACTATCATATTGGAGCCCGTTTCCAGCGTTCATCCGCAAGACAAATATATCGACAGGTAATAATACATTATCTTTTATTCTTGTAAAGTGAATTAAAGAAATGTAATAATTTCCATATTACAGATTTTTATCGTTGTGTGGATTTTTGGAAACCGGTCAAGTTCCGCCTCGTATAGGCGAAGCGGGCATGGAATCAGAATTGAAATCGGCGCTCCTCGAATTAGCGCGCGCCTCGCATTCTGCTTTGGTACGATCTCTTCCTCAATTACTGGATCAATTACTGTGTCTTCTGGTGCGACCGCCAACCTTACCGTCTCAATCATTGAACGTCGCCGCTATCATTTTTGAGGCTTTAGGACTGCTTGTGCGAAATATCACTAATTTACCGGACGGTCAACTGGACGCACATGGAAGACATGCCCTTTTGGCCACTTACATAGCATATCAATGCTCTCTACCGAGCATGACTCACATTGGGAGCGTTGCACGAGCACAGAGCAATCCTGATTTACCCTTGGAAGATCTGGAAATGGAGATCCATTCACGAGGATTGGACAGAACTGCATCGATGCGGCAAGAATCTCCCTCAATCAACAGTCATCCCACCAGAAGACTTCTACATGAGGAACTTGCTTTGCATTGGGTTGTATCCACCGGTCAGGCACGCGAGCTGGCGATAACTCATTCTTGGTTCTTCTTAGAGTTGATAATGCGTTCGATGGTCGTGACTCTGTCCGAAATGGGATCCTTAGAGGCATTGCGAAAACTGAGATTTTCACCACAGTTTTGTGACGACGTCGCTACACTCACCGCCGCGTTAACATCCGAGGTGATGTCTCGTTGCGGCAAGGAAATCCGCGTGGCATCTAATTTAATATCGAGTCTTGGCAATTTTTTGTCTGACTTGTTATCTATAATGGACAGAGGATTTGTATTGTCACTCGTTCGCGCCGCCTGTTGTTCGCTGTCGGATGCGTCGATGCATATTCCTGATTCGGCAGCATTGTTCGCTCTGAAACTCGATCTCGTGAGAACGGTGTGCTCGCACGAGCACTACGTAGCATTGAATCTTCCCTTCGGCACTGGCTATACATCAGGATCCGCCCCAGCATCACCCAGTCCATCAACCGGCAGCTCAGGCAGTTTGATATCCAC